TCGCAAAGACCATCCCCAAATAGCGCACCACGCACTATCAAAGCGCCCCGCTGGCACATCTGCCCTTCCCCCTAGAAGGATTCCTATTGAACGCCCCCATAAGAAGGATTCACAGTGAAATCCTCGACAGAAGGGTTCCTATCGAAACCCTCCACTGAATGATTCCTACTGAAATCCTCCACATGTGGATTCCTACTGAAACCCTCCACTGAATGTTTCCTACTGGAATCCTCGAATGGCAATGGCAATGGCAATTGTAATGGTAATGGTAATGGTAATGGCAGTGGAAATGGTAATGGTACTGGTAATGGTTACGGTAATGATAGTGGTAACGGGGTAGCGATTGGCAATGACAATGGCAACGGTAATGGTAATGGCAATGACAATGGCAATGGGAATGGCAATAACAATGGCAATGGTAATGGCCATGGCAATGGTAATGGTAAGGGTAAAGGTAAAGGTAGAGGTAAGGGTAATGGTAATGGCAATTGCAGTGGTAATGATAATGGTAATGGTAATGGGAATGGGAGTGGGAATGGGAACGGCAACGGGAATGGAAATGATAGTGGTAGTGGTAATGGTAATGGCACTGGTAATGGCACTGGTAATGGGAATGGGAATCGTAATGGAATTGGGGATGGGAATGGGAATGAGAATGGGCATTCTAATGGTAATGGCAGCGGTAATGGTAATGGGAATGGGAATGGGAATGGAAACGGTACTGGCAATGGTAATGGTAGTGGCGAATGGCAATGGCAATGGCAATGGCAATGGTAATGGTAATGGTAATGGTAATGGTAATGGTGACAGAGGTAATGGTACTGGTAATGGTAATGGTAACGGTAATGGTAATGGTAACGGGGTAGCGATTGGCAATGGCAATGACAATGACAATGGCAACAATAATGGGAATGACAATGACAATTGGATTAGCAATGGCAATGGCAATGACAATGATAATGGCCATGGCAATGGCAACGGCAATGGTAAGTGTAATGGTAATGGCAATGGTAGTGGGAATGGGAACGGGAATGGGAATGTGAATGGGAATGGGAATGGGAACGGGAACGGGAATGGAAACGGTAGTGGTAGTGGTAACGCAAATCGGAATGATAAGGGTAAGGGCAAAGGTAATGGTAATGGTAATGGAAATGATAGTGGTCATGGTAATGGCTATGGGAATGGCAATGGCAATGGAAATGGTATTGGCAATGGTAATGGTAGCGGTTAATGGCAATGGCAATGGCAATGCGAATGGTAATGGTAATGACAGGGGTAATGCTAATGGTTTTGGTAATGGTAACGGTAATGATAGTGGTAACGGGGTAGCGATTGGCAATGGCAATGACAATGGCAAAGGTAATGGTAATGGCAATGGCAATGGCAATGGCAATGGCAATGGTAATGGCCATGGCAATGGCAATGGCAATGGCAATGGTAATGGTAATGGTAATGTGAATGGGAATGGGAATGTGAATGGGAACGGGAATGGGAATGGCAGTGGTAGTGGTAACGGAAATGGGAATGGTAAGGGTAAGGGTGCAGGTAAAGGTAGAGGTAATGGTAATGGTAATGGCATTGGCAGTTGTAATGGTAATGGTAATGGCATTGGGAATGGGAATGGGAATGTGAATGGTAATGGTATTGGCAATGGTAATGGTAGTGGCGAATGGCAGCGGCAATGGCAATGGTAATGGTAATGGTAGTGGCGAATGGCAATGGTAATGGTAGTGGCGAATGGCAATGGCAATGGCAATGGTAATGGTAATGGCAATGACAGAGGTAATGGTAATGGTACTGGGAATGGTAATGGTGACGGTAACGGTAATGGTAATGGTTATGGCAATGGTAACGGGGTAGCGACTGGCAATGGCAATGGCAACGGCGATGGCAATGGCAATGGTAATGGTAATGGCAATGGCAATGGCAATGGGAATGGCAACGGCAATGGCAATGGCAATAGCAATGGCCATGGCAATGATAATGGTAATGGTCATGGCCATGGTAATGGTAATGGTAATGGGGATGGGAATGGGAATGGGAATCGTAGTGGTAATTGGAACGGGAACGGAAATGGAAATGGTAGTGGTAGTGGTAGTGATAATGGCAATGGTAATGGTAATGGAAATGGTACTGGTAACGGTAATGGCAATGGTGATGGGAATGGGGATTGTAATGGTGATGGCAGCGGTAATGGCAATGGCAATGGTAAGGGTAATGGTAATGGTAATGGCAATGGTGTTGGTAATGCTAATGGTAATGGCAATGGTAATGGTAGTGTCTAACGGTAATAGGAATGGTAATGGTAACGGTAATGGTAACGGGGTGGCGACTGGCAATGGCAAGACAATGGCAATGGCAACGGCACTGGTAATGGCAACGGCAATGGCAATGGGAATGGCAATGGCAATGGCAATGGCAATTGTAATGGCTATGGTAATGGTAATGGTAGTGGTAAGGTGAAGGTAAAGATCAAGGTAGAGGTAATGGTAATGTGAATGGGAATGGGAATGGGGATGGGAATGGTAATGGTAATGGTAATGGTATTGGGAATGGGAATGGGAATGGGAGTGGGAGAGATTGAGAGAGAGAGAGAGAAAGCGAGAGAGGAAATATCATAATAATGATGAGGAGCAACGTGAAAGATCGTAAAAAATCGTTTGAAACCCACAGGGGCTCCACAATCCCCCGGCCTCTCCTCCTCCTCCTCCTCCTCCTCCTCCTACTCCGCCTCCTCCTCCTCTTCCTTCTCCTCCCCATCCTCCTCCTCCTCCTCCTCCTCCTCCTCCTCCTCCTCCTCTTCCTTCTCCTCCTCCTGCGCTCGTACCACGGCGAGCCCAGTCTTATCCACTGCTACTACTGCTACTACTACTTGAACTACTACTACTACTTGTACTACTACTACTTGAACTCCTCCTCCTCCTCCTCCTCCTCCTCCTCCTCCTCCTCCTCCTCCTCCGCATCCGCCTCCTCAGCCTCCTCCTCCTCCTCCTCCTGATCCTCCTCCTCTCCCTCCTCCATTCCCTGTTCAACTTCCAGATTTCCAGAATCGGGCAGGCCACAATTGAAAACTAAGCAGATTGCGACTCTGGCTCAGGTTCTGGCCAGGTCGGGAACCCAAGGGGGGCGTTCCCGCCCCGAAGGCGCTGATCACTCAGGTCGACATGCTTGGCCCAGCTTAACGAATTAGCCTTCCGTGCCCGTAGCCCCACACAGCTGGCACCAGAACGCCCCCCTGCAAAAGTCAAACCTGCGGGAGGAGTCGATGCCAGTAGGGGGCACTAGAAGATGGGGATGCCAACCAGCCACGCATTCTGACCTCCCGAATGAGACATCCGAGGTGCTCGATGCTTTTGGTATCATCCCCGACTCGATGGGACGACACTACCTTCGCCTCCTCCACCTTGACAGCGCGGCCCCTGCTTCGAAGCTCCGCCTCTACCGCGCGAGCAGCACGCGAACCAGGGGCATGAAGTTCGGGGGCCTCCGACGCAGTGTCCAGGGCTACAGCCACCAGATGCTTCTGGACCTTCCAGGTCAACTCCTATGAATGCACAACTTCATGGGTTACATGACCAGGCAACTGGCAGCTCTGAGCGCCACGGCCTGCCGCGTGGTCGGCAGCCCCACTAGACAACCACAAGGGCAAGGGAGGGCCGTCGACGCGCTCTGGGGCTGGGCGCATGTGGTTCACAACCTCGTGCATAACTATGTATCCGTCCTCGGCGGCATCCCGCAATCTCCCCCCAGCAAGCAGCTGAAACTGGGGCCTCCGTGAAAACACGGTCACCGCGGGGCCCCCTGCCAGCGCAATGATTGCAGGTGTTTCGCGGGGCCTGGATGATGGCCTCGAACTCGGCCAAGGGGGACTGACTGTTTCTATCCAGAGGAAGCGCCCGCGCCCGCGCCCTAACCGCCAGTCCTCCCGAGGCATGGAAAGCCCCATCCACGCCTTCGCTGCCTGGCCGCCCGACGACTGCGGCCCGCCCGGCCCGCCCGCCCCGGCGACGGCGCCCCGCCGCCCCCAGGTCGACCGGGCGCCCCGCCGCCCCCAGGTCGACCGGCCGTCGGCCGAGCCTGGGGGGAACGCAGGTAGGAACAAGGCATCTGCTAAATAAGGCACCGACGCCCATCTCAGCGGGGGGGCGGGTCGAAGCCAGCAACACGGGAACTCCGCCCGCTCGGCTTGGGCCTGGGACAGTGGCCCTGGGCAACTGGGCGCTGCGGGGGCAGGACCACGCTTCGCGAAACCGAATCTCTGGCGCGGCCCCGCGGCGAGGGCTACTTGTCGACGCGTTGGGGCGCGGGCCCCCTGCTCGCACAGGCCGCGCTGATCCTCTTGGACGCGCTGCCCCAGCAGGTCGCCCAGACCGAAGGCCCAGGGCGGGGGCGCGCCCCGCCTCGGGCGCGGGGAGGGGGCGGGCCCAGCTTGGACCTCGGGCGCGAGGGGGGGCGGCCAGAGGACGATGGAGATTCGAGGAGGGGGGGGGGGCGGTGGCGGGTGGAGACCCTCTTCCCCGAAGCGCCCGGATGCTGGCCACAGGCCCCCGCGGCGGCCTGATCACGATGGCGCAGCCTCTCTGGGCGACGCATGCGTCGGTGCGAAACACTAGAATCAACACTGCGCCACCTTGGAAGTGCCCCGAGGCCTCTTTCCACGCGAGAAGAAGCGTCCAGGGGCGCTCTGACGCGCGCGTGACAAAGAGGGGGGCTCATACCACGACCGGACAAACCTGCGCGCAGAAGATCAGTGAATCATGATCGGCGCCCATCATCACGCTGATGGTAGTGGTCGCGCATCATCCCTCGTAGCGGGCTCCAGACAAGGCTGCAACTTACGCTCGCAGGGGCAACGGTGCAGTGGGGGCGAGGCCCATTCGCGCCAGCCCCCGCGTCTCCTGGGGCAGAACCCCCGCGCGTCCTAGCAGCCTTGCCTTGGGCGCCACCTTGACTACCTGAGCGATCATCTTGGCACGGCTAGCAGTGGCCCCCGGTCGCTTTCACTGGGCGGCCACGCTGCGTCTGGCTGCTTCGGCATCCACCCCCAGATCGTCGGCAAGCTGACTGGCTTGTACACTCAGGCCATGGGCGAACAAAACGAACTGAGCGTCCGAGGCCAAGTGATTGGGGCAACCCACGATGACACTCTGACTCGAAGTTCTGAGGGCTGCAAAGCTCCCAAAGCACCCTGGAAACCTGCACAGACTTCGAGACCACCTCCCTAAAATGACCCGACACATGCTGCGAGTAGTCGTCAACCCACGTGTCCAACTGTAGGGGGGTGAGCGAGTCGCGCACGTCCTGAGCCATCTCAGCGTGTCCTACTCTAGCTACATCCGTTGACTGATTACACCCAGCTAAGATGCCATCTCATGGAAAGATCACCTCGCTGATGCTGTTCTCAGCTCGGACCCGCCATCGCCACCCATCTAGGTTCGACAGAAACGTTGAAGGAACCGAAACGAACCCACGGTCGCACGAGGGATTACCGTGGGGATCGTGCGGGAAGGCCTGCTGCTGTGGGCGAGCTCGCCTCGAGCCAGCCCCTCGGCTGAAGGCAAGCACAAAGTCGCAGGGCACGGCTTCGCACTTGAGCCAAAACTGTTACGGACCCTTTTCCTCTCCCTCCTCCTCCTCCTCCTCCTCCTCGTCCTTCCTTCTCCTCCTCCTCCTCCACCTCCTGGATTTTCCTCCTCCTCCTCCTCCTCCTCCTCCTCCTCCTCCTCCTCCTCCTCCCCATCCTTTTCCAAACCTGCGCCCGACCAAAATCTTTGCCCGATGTGTGGGTGCACGGCTGGATGAATGCCAGCACGCACTCAATGCGAGCGCAAGTGGGACAACTATTTCGGTCGCAACCAGACTGGACTTTGTTGCGACGCCCGCGCCTGAGGGAACGGTTCGGGCAGCGATAGTTCCCGGCAAGCGGACGATTTGGGACTGGGGGCATTCCTGCAACCACTCGCTCCACTCATGCGTCAATGCTGCGTCGACCGTCCGTCGACCTGGACCGAACTTGAGTCGAACTTGAGTCGAGCTAGAGTCGAACCAGAGTCAAACAGATACGCCAGGCGCGACCCAGGGGGGCCCAGAAAACGAGCAAGAAGGCCTGAGGGAGCAGTTCGGGCGGCTGTAACTTTGGGCGAATCCCCGAACGCTCCTAGGCCCGAAATATGGCGACATCGCCGTTTGTTGAAAAAATGCAGCGCCAGTGCATCTCAGAGCTTGCCTCCTCTGGAACATCGCAAAGGGTGGCACAGAGTAAGAAGGGTCGCGCCAAGCCTGCTCGTGCCCTCCAGCGACGACGGCGAGGCGTCGCCGCCCAGGGGCTTCCCGGTGTACCCGCAGGGCGATGTGATGACGTGGTCCTGGTTGCTGATGCTGCTGCTGTTGAAAGCCGTCGCCGTCGTCGTAGGGGCTCCCTGGACCCCCGCGTCGTGAACAAAAACGCGACGCCACAAGTTGCATACCTGTGGAGTCTGGGAGCCCTCGCTGAACCCCAGGGCCGTCAGAAAACGATGCCAGATGAAAGACCGGTCCCAGGAGAACGGGTCGAGACCGCCAGGGGTCCACGTTTAGAAAAATCACGAAGTTAGAGGGGCTCAAGCTCGTCATGCATCGTGGTGCTACAGTGCGGGCGCGGCCGCGAGAAGCCCTCGCAAGAAACCCAACCCTGACAACCCGCGCGCGAGGTGCACCTGAGGGGAAACCCAGAGCACCCTGAACGCAGCAGCTTCTTCAACGGCTGCGGAAAGTCACTGCGCAGCGCGCAGAGCGAAAAAAACCCAGGGTACCCTGACGAAAAGCAAATGGCTTCTTGATGCGCGCCCCCACTGTATGCGGCTGAGTCTCAGTCGGACTTTTGGCGCGCACTTCGAGGTACAGAGGGTATCCACCGTGCCGGCCCATGGGATACCTCTCCTTTCCGGCTGGTGCTGCGATGGCCTCGCGCCGGGTTCCTTCTGTCCACCCAACTGTCTATACAAAAAACGAGCATATCTACACGGGTAACTCGATCACGACCTCAACTTGTAACTGGCGAACGCATGTTGGTTATACTACTACCGATGAATTTAACTTCGGACTGAACCGTGTAGCTGCTAACAAAACTAGCCGTACAACACAGATCGCATGTTCTTAAGCCCTACTCAAAGAAACAACACACCTAGCGACATCTATCAAACCTTCGAAACAATCTAGACAGTTCACACACATTCACGCGCACACAAAATATACAGACCTAGCTAGGCACTTCGATACTGGAAGAGACAAAACATGATTACCCGGTGCCGTACACTACTCATCTGCAACTCGTGGCCATGACAAAAAGCCCCTTGTATACAGAAGGTTGCATGACGATGAACGCAAATCGTTGTGAAAATTACGTGGTAGGCAAGGTCCCGTTTGGACCTGCGTAAGACACCACTCCGCTGGACCTCCCAGGGGTCCACGGAAGTGGCGACAAGCGCGCTTTTGGCGGCGCCCAAGGAGGCGAGGGCCCGCTTGGATCTGCGCAGGACACCGCTCCGCTGGACATCCCAAGGGTGCTTACGAACGTGGCGACGGTTGCGAAATTAGCGAGCACCGGAAGAGTCGAAGTCCCACTTGGACTTGAGTAGGCACCACTCCGCTGGACCTGTAAGGGGCACACAACAATGGCGACACATGCGCAAGTAGAAACACCCCTGGAAGCAAGGTCTCGGTAGGATCTGCGCACGACACCACTGCGCCGGACCTCCCAGAGGCTCAGGGAAAGGGTGACCATTTTGCAATTGGCAGCTCTCAGGGAGCCGAGGTCGCACTTGAATCTGGATGGCCCACCACTCCGCTGCATCTCACAGGGGCCAGCGAAAGTGGAGGCAGTGGCGCTAGTGGCAGCGCCCATGGAGTCGAGAACCCAAAACCAGGTGGCGTACGCGTGGCGACAGTGGCGCGATTGGCAGCGCCCCGCGAGGCGTGATCGCACTTGGGTCTGCGTGCGACACCAGTCCGCTAGACCTCGCAAGGGAGCACCAAAGATGCGACAGGTGACACTTGGCACCGACCATGAAGGCGAGGTACCACCTGGACCTGCGTGGGACACCACTCCGCTGGACCTCCCAGGGGCTCACGAGAGTGGCGACAATTGCGCAGTTGGCAGCGCGGCTGGACAGTCCATCTCCCGACGTGCCACCGTGACGTATGGACATAGACTCTCCAGCCGCCCTGGGACAACCCACCCCAATGGGGGCCAAGCTTTTCCATCACACCGTTCTCCGCCCGCCGAATGAGATTCTGTCCCGCCCGGCCTGCGCCGTAGCAGCCGCGAGCCGCTCCGGCGCGGCCGCCGCCGCGGGAGCGTCCTGCGCCAAAGCCCTGGGCGCAGTCTGCACCGCCGGCGCGGCCTGCGCCACGGTCCTGGGCGGCGCAGCGGCGGCGGGCGGCGCCGCCTGCGTGGGCGCCCGAGATGAGTACGCCTAAAGATGGGCACGATGCCCAATGGCACATGTCGCCCCAAACCGACAGCGGCCGCTGATAGACAGGCGGCCTTCTGTCTCGAATGGACGATGTCCGCAGCGACGCCGACAGCGAATCCCGCTCAGAACGAACAGGAAAGGCCGTCGGTGTCTTTCCGGCAGCGAGCCTAGGGGGAAGTGAGACGTAGGCGTTCTGTTTTGGTGACCCAAAAGGGGGTCCAGCTGAAAGGGGGTTGTGCAATAGATTTCGGGCAATTGGTTTGCAAATGTATTGCGCCAGAAATTTGTATTGCATTGCATTGCAAGTAATGCATTGCACGCGAAAATGCAGCAATACATTTGTGTCCCAGAATGTATTGCACGCCCCAAGTGTAAATGCAACCCCACAAATCTATTGCACCAAATCTATTGCACCACCCCCTGTCGCTGGACCCCTTTTCGGTCTACCCGAACCTGTTCGCCTTCTTCCCGAAATTACCCGCTCCGACCCCCCCGCCGCCTTCTGGGAAGGCCTCCTCCTTAGAACTTCCCCCTCGCTCGCCGCCGGCATGTGCCCCTTCTTGCCGTAATTGCCCGCTCCGACCCCCCCGCCGCTTTCTGAGGCCTCCTCCTTCGAACTTCCCCCCTTGCTCGCCGCCGATCTGCGCCCGTTCTTTAAAATAAGAAGAACAACATAAACACAAACTTTTGGCGCTCCGCGCGGCTTTCTTGGATCCGCGCCAGACCCCCCTCCCTGGCGCGCGGAGCGCGCCAGGGGCGGCGCCGGAGGCGCCGCCCGGGGGGTCCAGCGCGGATCCGAGAAAAACCCGCGCGGAGCGCCACAAGCTTCTGCTGCTGCTTCTGCCGTGTCTCTCTCCTTCGATCCTTGCGCCCCACCCCCCCGGGGCCTGCACCACGAGCCAGGGTGCGGCGGCGGCCGCCGGCGGGCGCCAGGCGCCCCTGGGCGCCACGGCCGAGGGCGCCGCGGCCGAGGGCGCGGCGAGGCCCGCCGCGGGCGCGCCGGGGGCCTCCGCGGGGCTCCGCGGGCGCTGCGCGCGGCGCCCTCGGGCCGCCGCGGCGGGCCTCCCGCGGAGGCCTCCGCGGAGGCCTCCGCGGGAGGCCCTGCCGCGGGGGTCTCGGGAGCCAGTGGGCGCGCGGCCCCCGCTCGGCCGCCGCACGGGCCCAGGACGGCGCCCTTTCGGCGGCCGAGCGGGCTCGGTTCCCACCGCCCCGTCGGAGTGGAGAGGGGAGGGGGCCTCCTGAAACTGTGGATTGGCACACCGCTCACGCACGCTTGCCTTCCCCAACGACAAGAGACCAGGAAAGGCAGATCGTGAAATCCGCTGCCCCTCAGGAGGGCCATACCAGCGAGAACAACGAGACACGCGCACTGCGAGCCGTAGAAAGGCTATGGGAAAACTCAGCGGCAATTCAAGTGGTCGCAGCTGGGACACCGAGACTCCGAGGAGGAGGAGGGAGGATACCTCACCGTGCGGTGACCTCGGAATTCCCAAAGACCTCACCGCACGGTCCGTCACTGCACAAATTTGGGACCCTGGAGGCCACAGATGCCAGAGGCATCCTCGGAGAACCACCCAATTCCCAAAACCGTGCGGTCACGCCGAGTTCCCACTGACCCACCACACGGTGTGGTCGCCACACCGTTTGAGGGCAGGAGGCTGGTGCCCATGGGGGCGCCTGGCCCGCGACGGTGACGCTGGCGACGGGCGGCCCAGGCAGCAGCGTGCGTCGGGCAGCCGCTGGGCCTATAGAAGGACGTCGCCTGGATGTACACCTGCACCGATCGTGGCCAGGGCCATTCCTGGGCCCAGGCACGGGCTTCGAGCTTGGCCCGTAGACTGTTGTGGTATGTGCGCCGCTTTCGAAGTTTGCCTTCAGCCTGGAGGGCGCCCGTGTTGGAGACGGCAGGGGGGTCCCCGGACCCCTCCTGGCGTCCGTCCTGGATCCGATTTTCACGGTCCTTGGGCCTGCAAGCGGCCCCAGAAGCAGAAAAACAAAAAAACCGTCCAGCACCCAGAACCTCGAACCAGCCTGCCCCTCTCGCTGGCCAGAGCGAGTGCTGGGCCCCTCAAACCCCCAGACGGTTCCAATGCCCGTGTGCACCGATACAGCCAAGACGCTGCAATAAGGACCGCTGTGGGTTCGGAAGGGGCTCGATGCTCCTGAGGTCCTTCTGTGGCAGTTCCTCCAGCCCCTCTCGGTGCACCCCGCCGCTGCAGTGGCCCAACAGAGACTTCCTTCCCTCTTTGGCGCTCCTTCTGGCAGCAGCCGGCCTCTCACCGCTCTCGCCATCGCTCGGACGTCCATTCCCTGTGTTTTTTTCGGTTTCGTGCGTGGCCTTTTCGCCAAATGATCAAGGATACTCCTCGATGGTCCTCGCCGAAGGAAAAATGCACACGTCCGAGCGATGCCAAACGCTGGGCCTGGGCTCGGCCTGGCCAGGACCGGTGCCGGTGTGCAGCCGACGCCCTCCGAGCCTGCAGCAAGCAGCTGCGGCGCGGCCGCCGCCGCAGGCCCCGCCACGCCCCCGGCGCCCCCCGCGCGGGCCAGCACGGCGTAGCGCATGTAGGTGCCGCTCGTGCTCGCCGGCAGCCCGGCGTAGTGCGGGTTCTCCAGCACCTCGCAGCTCCAGCCCAGGCCCCGGCAGACCCGCGCGGCCTCCTCGGCCTCCTATCAGGGGAGCACGAAAAACGTCACACACACACACACACTCATTATACATATGTGCACTATATATATATATATATACGCACAAGACTACAATGGCGCTTCGCGCCATGCACCTTGAAATTTGGTATGCAGGCGGAATGGCTGGAAGGTCAAGCCGACAATTTAGCGATAACTCCTTGTTGCCTTTTTCGGAGTCGCCATAAAAATAATGTTATTAGTGTTCCTTTTTCCATGCTTCGTTGTCCTCATTCTCCCCATACCCTGCGCGTTCTCCCCATCCTCCTCAGCTCTTGTTGCGGAGGCTCCCCCTTGGAGAGCCTCTGGGGGCCTCACAAAAGTTCTTTAGCTTTTTAACAGCCTTCTGGAGGCCTCCTGGGCGTGTTCTGGGGGCCTCTGCGGGCTTCCTCGGGCCGCCCCAACCGCGGTCTCCCTGAACGACCAGGTCACGATTTGGACTGCTTCGGAGGGCGTCTTGGGGCCATCTTGGGCCGCCATGAGGTTCTTGGAGGGCCATCTTGGACCCCTGTTGTGCCGTTTTGGGGCTCGCTTGGACTGCCTGGAAGCCCTTTCGGATGGTTGTGGGGCGATTTGGAGCCTTCCAGGCGGCTTCGGACGCCCAGAAGACCGCCGTCTTGGAGCGTTGGGAAGCCGAAAAGATGCACATTCACCAAAAAACTACAGGACAAAAATAATGTGTGCCTCGTGGGGCCTCCTTGAGAGTGCTCTTGGAGGCCTCTTGGGATGTTTTGGAGCGATCTTTGGGGGTATGACGGCTTCTTGAGGGTCGTCGTGGACCGTATTGGGTCTCTCTGGGGTCGTTTCGGGAGCGCGCTGGAACGCCTGGAACCCGTCTGGGGCCGTCTTCGGGCTCTCGTGAGGTTCTCCTGGGTCGTCTGAAGGGTTACATGGAGGTCCAGGGAGGGCCAAATTCGTTAGGGGGGGCGCGCGTTTTCCGGCGTCCCTGGCCCTATGAAAAGTATGATTAGGAATACACATATATACACATGTACATACGCACGTACGTACGTACGTACGTACGTACATACAGGCATGCATGCATGCATACATACACACAAGAGCATACATGCATACATGCATACACACATACATACATATGAATGTACGTACCTACGTACGTACAAACATGCATATAAACACATACACATAAGAGTCATACATACGTGCGTACATAGATACATGCATGCATATGCATGCATGCATACATATACACATACATGCATACATACATACATACATACATGCATACATACATGCATGCATGCATGCATGCATGCATGCATGCATACATACATACAGACAGACAGACAGACAGACAGACAGACAGACATACGCGGTTTTCGGAGCTCCACGCAGATCTCTGGGACCGGCGCTGGGACCCGCTCCATGGCCCGCGGAGCGCGCCAGGGGCGGCTCCAGAGGCGTCGCCAGGTGACCCAGGCGGAGATCCAAGAAATCCGCGCGGAACTCCAACAGATTTATGTGTACGCAACTGTTTCTATTATATCACTTGCGCTGATATAATTCCTCTTCTTCTCCAGGGCCACGACGACGACGACAACGCCAGCAGCGGCGATGACCACAACGATGATAACGACGACGGCGGTAGCGGTTTTCTTCTTCGACTCCTGAGTGTAGAAGGTGACGAAGACGCAGAGCCCGCCAGGGAGGCAGCTGCTGAGCACGTGGGCCAGTATCGCCTGCGGGCAAGATGTGCATCCGTACCCACTGCGCCTTAGAGTGTCGGGATCCGCCGCTCCCCAGAAGCCCGGGGCTCAGTTGATATTTCCCCCACGGAAACAACCAGGAATGGCATTTCGGTCAATCCGCTGCCCCTCAGGGGGGCTATCCCAAACGCGCGATCGACGGACAAGCGAGCACAAGGACACACTCAGAGGCTCAGTGGATATGGATAAAAGAAGCCTTGCCCCTGGAGGCCAGATTGTTGTCCATATACCCACTGTGCCTCGGCCCTTTGGCGCCCTTTCCCAAATAGTCCAAGACGCAGAGGATAGGCACACAAATCTTGCCCGCATCGCCGGCCACGGTCCGCCGTTCGTGATCTCGGGATGCACGCCGAGGACCAGCCCGGCGGGCGGGGGCGCAGACGTAGACAAGTCCTGCTGGCTGAGCTGCAGGGCCACCCGGGGGCCCAGGTGCTTGGCCACCCAGGCCTGGGAGGGTCTCGATGTAGACGTACACCACGGCGTGTGGTCGGCCAGGATGCTCGTTGTAGAGACTCCCCAGCTGTCAAACAAATGGTACGCTGGAGCGTCTACACACTGCTAAACTCCGTGGCTTCGTGGCCGACCAGACGTGGTGGTGAAAACATCGAGCCCGTTAGGATGCCTCCCAGGCAGGCCACCACCTGGGCTGGGCGTTCACGTCGCAGCCGAACGCGATGATGCCCTTGACCCCAGGGCCCCCCTCAATCAACCTTTCCAGGGGCAAATGAATGCTGATACGTACTGCTGCTCCTCAGACCTCTCCGGGGTAGCAATCTGACCAAGAATTTCGAGAATCCAGCCGTGGCAACGAGGATCTCCCAGGAGGCCCAACAAGGCCATTACGAAGGAAGGTAGCGATAGAAAGCAACTCACGGAAGCTGTTGGCCGTCTCCTAGCGCCCAGTAGCGCGCCCAATCGCGCGCAAAGGGGACATCATGCATCCCTTCACATGGCGCTATTGGGCGCTATTGGTCGCTATTGGGCCATATTTGAGCGCTGTTCGGAGCTATTGAGCGCTATTTGACGCGATATGGCGCCGTTAAGCGAAATTAGGCACTTTTCGACGATATACGTAAAATCTAAGACGAGCGAACGCTTCCGTGTTTTACTGTCTGAATAGCGGCAACAGTACCTTTCCCAGACACGCGACGTCCTGATTTTTTCAATACGCGGTTCCCCGAAGTCTCGACCCTTTCCGCTGGACCCGCTCGTCATCCTGAATAATTGTTTGACGGCCCTGGGGCCCGGTGAGGGCGCCCAGAGGCCGAAAACCTACCAAAAAGCGCCCGTCCTGCCTTTTTCCTCGACGCGATCGTGTCTGGGGTTCTGTCTCCGAGGCCTGTCGACCAGGAAGGGCAGCAGGACCGGCGCCTCGTAGTAGTCGTGGCAGAACGGCGAGCTCACCCGCAGGCAGCCCGCGCCGTCGACCGGCAGCGCCGAGAGCGCGCCGCGCTCCCACAGGAGCCCCAGGAGCGCCGAGAGGGCCTGTGAGCACTGTAAAACGACGCGAAGATCAGGACAAAATCGGATCGGGATAACTCGAAATCTCTGAGAATCGGCGGGTTTGGAGGATGTACTGGGCGCCGCGGCCGCTCCAGAGCGTTCCGGAACGCTCTGAGAGCGCTCCGGAACGCTCTGGAGCGATTTATCCCGATCCTAGCCTTGTTTTACACTGGCTGACCGATCCCTTTGCGCCGCCAGACTGCCCGGGCCCCCTCGCGTCTAAGGGCCTCCCAGATAGAGTCCGAGGAAATGGGGTCGGAGGATCGCGCCGCATCGTCGATGCTTCGGCGATGCATCGGCGACTCATGGGCGATGCATCGGTGATGCATCGCCGACGTCGGCAACACATCGGCGACGTCGGCGTGGACAAAATCGAGCTCCGCATCGGGCCGCATCGGCGATGCACCAGCGACTCGGCGCGATCCTCTGACCCAATCTGCTCGGACCTCATCTAGGAGGCCTAGAGATAGGTGGGGCATGTCCCTCTACAGGCGGATTTTGGGCGAAAACATGCCAAGTACTCCCAAAATGTTCATAAATGATCAAACAAATAAAAAGAACAACCGTCTCCTCACGATGTTTTGATTATTTTTGGATATTTCCCCAGTCGAGGGACGTGCCCGACTTGAGCCTAGAGCGTCGTGACAGAAGCAGAACGGGGGTCTGTTCGCTATCTTCGGCCTCTGGGGGGGCCCCTGCCGGGCCCCCCAGAGGCCGAAGACCTCAAGGACGCAAGAGCAAGGAAGAGCAAGGACGCAAGGGTACACTGAGCAAAATCGCGCGTCCTTACTAGGGCTTTTGACTGTATCTTCGGCTTCTGGGGGGCCCCTGCCGGGCCCCCAGGGGCCGTCCGAAGCACGACTCGGGGTGCAAAGCCGGTCTGGGGGCCTGCATGGGTCGAGACCTTCGGGGGTCGACCTTGTGACAAAAATCCTGACGTCGGGGAGGCATCCCAGATAAGCGAGGAGAGGGCAGGGGTCTTGCGCGAGAAAGCATAGCGGCCTCACGCGGCGGCTTTCACGGGCCGCCAGCGCGACACGCTGCAGCAGAAACGAAGGCGCTCGCACGCGACCTCGCGCGGCTCGCTTCCGCGCGAATGTCCGCGCAGACGACCCGATGTTGTTTCGTCGCTCAGATGGGGTCGGAGGACAGCGCCGCATCGTCGATGCATCACCGATGCATCGGCGACGCATCGACGGCGCCTGCGATGCATCGGCGGCGTACATCGAGCCGCATCGGCGATGCGGCGCCTATCCCCGCCTGGGGGGCCTCATTAGGGGATGAGATGCCATGGCCCAGTGGGGATGGGGATCGGTTAGACGGTTCTGAGCCTGGTCACGCTGCGAGGGCGATGCTCGCCTCTGCTGGGCCAGCGACTCCGCCTAGGGGAAGCAATGACTGCGACTGCCTAAATGTAAACTTTCGGAGCACCGTGTGGATTTCGTGAATCTGCACTGTACCCCAGAGCTCTTGCGCTCGGAGCGCTCCAGGGGCGCGCCAGAGACGCTGCCAAGGGGGGGCCAGCGCCGATCCAAGAAATCGGAGGGGGGCTCCGACAGATCATAACCACGCCGTTTGCTCTCCATCGACGGGGGCGGCCAAGAGGGCGGCGTCCAAGAGGGGGGGTGCAAATCATGGCCGGCGGCATGGGCGCGGCCCAGGGGGGGGGCGGGGACGAATTGAAACAAGAAGAGGCACTATGAAATCTGGGGAGATATCATGGGCCCCGCCATGATATCCACCCTCCCTGGTCATCACCCCCCTCACTGCCGCCCCCGACTTCGACCGCCAGCGAGAGACCCTCCACCCTCCCGGCCGACCGAACGGTCACGGCAGGGTGAACGGCCACGACCGGAGAGGCCACGACCGGCGTGGCCAGCGGCCCCGCAAGCACGCGGAAGCCTGGCTGCGACACCGGCTGCGAGCACCGCAACACCATGGTGGTGGACATGCGGGAAGCCCGGGGGCTCCTCGAGTGGGGAAACCAAAACGGCCAGATACGATTTTTCAATCCGAGTGCTTTTCCTCGATTCCGGCCTCTGGGGCCTGTCAGTGGGCCCCAAGGCTATCAAAAAAAATACCCAGGACGAAAATTACCCCGGGACCTCTGGGGCCACGCATTGAAAAGATTGCATAGACGGATTCCTGGGGAACCGATACTACTACTTCCTGGACCTCTGCTGCAGTGCATTTTGATCAGAATTCCAAAGAGACTCTAGCTGTGGCGATAAGGGTTCTCCAGGACCAGCAGCTGTATCGGCATCCACTGATACCCGGCGTCACGAGAAAAAATGCAACGTCGTAACAACCACGACTGGAGCCCAAGACCCCTCTCTGTGCTGCATGTCTCGCCTCCGATCGACCCGCGAGGGCCCCGGGGCCCGACATGGCGCGACATCGCCATTCGCGAGCAAAAACTTGCGACGCTGCAGAATCTCAGGGGACGAGCGGCGGTGTCGGTACCTTTGCCACCTCTGCGCCTGGGGGCTCACTGGGCCTGGCGCCGATGCAGGCCGTCGGCTCCCGGCGCGGTCATCCAGTGGGGGTCGGCGTGCAGGCGCAGGCTTCGAGCCAGAGCGGGCAGCGATGCAGCGGGGCCCAAGGTCAGACTGGGCGGCAGGGGGGCAGAGCGCCATCCTCGAGGTCAGGACAAGAAACAGACATTGGATGGGGTAGCGGACCCCCCCGCTCCTCTCGTTTCCCGCCGCGGCCGCTGCTTACGAGGAGCGACATGGAGACAGAAGACACCGAGTCAGGACGAGGAGCACGGTGCTGCCCAAAGACAAGACACCGGACGTCCGATGTCTTGATCTGTGCGACACCTGGCGCACAGCACTGTCGAGCCCTGCTGAGGCTCAGCTTTTTCGTCGTTGATCCTTCCTCGACGGTCCCAGAAAGCGAACACGGCCCAGAGAGGCCGAACATTGCTTTCAAAGTATCGCTGTGTTGATTTGGTTCAGGATGGCAAGAAAAATGCACGCTGGACCTATCCAGGGCTGCGTTCTGACCACGATCTCGAGGGGAGTCCGGTCATGGCCGCGGGGGCGCCCCGGGAGGCCCAGAAAGGGCACTCGAAAAACCACAACCCTCGACCCTCGATGGTGAGAGAGAGGCGGGCTTCCCAGACCCCCGGCGTCGCGATATTTTTCACGACGTCGAACCGCGGAGGTCTCGACACAAGTCCCAGCAGGACCGGCCTTTCATGCCGAGTCCATTTTCTGAAGGCAGGAGAAACCACCATTGAACGGCAAGTCAGATCGGCGATCGAACTGCATCGGACCAGCGGAAATCGGCAGTCAAGTTGGGAGAAGTCGAATCGGCAGAACTCGGCAAGCTAGTAAAGTCTCCATTGAGAAACCGACATCCCAATCGGAATCCGAGGTCGAATCGAGTCGGAATCGGAATCGATCGAAATCGAATCGAATCGACCCGCAGGAGTCGACATGAGCCCTGTGACGGTCCCTAAGACTGGCGTGGGTCCCCAGGGGCCGAAAATCTATAAATACCTTCCGGCATGATCTTGTTCGCGACGCGAGGGCGCCTTAGGCGATCGACGTTTCATCCATGCCCCTGCCCACGCCCCGACACCACGAGGGGCCAGAGCGGGGATCTGGACAAAGTTCTGGCCTCCGAGGCCACTTACCTTGAGCAAGACCCTGCTGCACCTGGCACCCAGGAGTCGGGTGCGGCATTCGATCGGGCATGTCCTCCTACAAGCGGATTTTGGGAGCCCACATCAAACATGGCCCCCAAAAACACACACACACACACACACCAAAAATCGTCGCCAGACTAGATGTTAACATTATTGTGTGTTCCTCCTGTTGAGGGACACGCCCGACTTCAGGGCAGCAGCACGGGCACGAATCGAACGCCGACCGCCGAGGTCCGGGCTGGGAGACCACGCGCCCAGCCCTCCGGCCGCCTCCTCGCCGACGTCGATGGGGCGCACCGCGCGCACCTGGGGAGGGGGGCGGGGCGCCACCCCGCCAGCCGAGTGGGGGGAGAGCCGCTCGCAGCTCCGCCCTTGGAAGCCTCCCAGACGGGGTCGGAGCATCGCGCTGATGCCGCCGATGCCTCGGCGACGTCGGCGATGCATCCGCGACGCGGGCGCGAAGAAAACCAGGCCCCACATCGAGAGATCCGCGCGGACCTCCGAGAGAATAAACTTGAGTGTGGCTCCTGTGACTCGGCCTCCGCCCGTCTGACGCGCCCATCCCTCGGCCTCCGCCTTCCGCACCTTCCGCGCGGCAGGTGCCGCGAAGCGGCCGATGCCGCCGATGTCGCAGCGGCGGACTCGGCGGCCACCGCGGCCGCGCCGCGGCGGCACCTGCCGCGCGGAAGGCTCGGAAGGCGGAGGTCGAGGGATGCCCTGTTTGGATCACCGCGTGGGCGCTCGGGGCTCTCGGGGGGGGGCAAGTGGATGCCAAGGTGGGCCATGTCTGGCATGACCTATAGCTTATAAGTGGGTTGCCAATGCCCCAAGGGGCAAAGACCTGGGCGAAGTGGTCGGAGCACACTCAGCGGAGTCACCAAACCACTTTGAGCGACCTAGGCCATTCGTAGCCCACTTGCATGCTAGGTTAGGCCAGGTATGGCCAACGCTGGCATGCACTCATGAGTCCCCTATGCGCGAAGCAGCCTCAACGGTCTTGACCCAATCCCCGGGACCGGTGTTCCACCCTGGGTCAACCCCCTTTTTCGACGGTCCCGGGGCCCGGCGAGGGCCCCCAGAGACCGAAAGTCGCCGAAAACTGACCGTCGCGGTTCTTGCACGATGCGAGGGGATCTGGAAGGCGGAGGTCGAGGGATGCCCCACGACTTTCCTCCCAGCTCGACGCTCGTGGCGCACGCCTCCACGGCGCCGCCACCCCGCGGGCTCGGCCCGCGCAGCGCGTTCGGTGCGCAGCTGTGGTTCAGCAGGTCGGCCAGCAGGGGGCTGCCAGAGGGCGCCTTGCGCGGGAGGGGCGCAAGTAGTGTGCAGCCGTTCATGGGGGCCTGCGTTGCTCTCAGGCGGTTTCTGTCGCTCCACCTTCGTTCCACGTGCGCTCCGCCTCCGTTCGAGTACGCCCAGCACCTTCCATCGGCCTAGTGCCTAGCGCCATCAGGGCACAATGGCAGCGGGGGCACGCATGCGATGCGGAAGTAGTGCGCAAAGTGCACGGGCTCTGTAGAACAAGGCAAGGTGTAACGCAACACGAAGGCTCTCATGAAGGGCTACACGAAAAAAACACTGAATGTTTACGAGGCCGCCAAGCCCGCTCATACCTTTCTCTCGCCAGAGCATGGGTCAGCACTATGATAGCCGCATGACTTCGGCAACGAGGCTCGCCACGGTCTCGATGGCGTTGTCGAGAGCAGCCGCCTTCGCTTCAAAATGGCAAAATCCTACCAGCCCTTTAGGGCGAAGGTGGTCTAACTAGTTGTGCCTTTCCTCCCCCTCGTTCCATTTCTCGGGATGGGTTTGCCCCTCCTCCTGTGCGGTCTGGAGGCTATCCTGCGCGCTCTTGGACCCTCGGGGGCCTCCAGGAAAACCGCCAGGGGCGGGGGGGGAAATAATGTACAAGGGAGGGGCCGGCCCGGGGACCTGGGGCCAGGATCTCCACACATAAATGTAGATATGCATGAATATATAAACACTTATAGATGACACCACATGGAATTCACAAAATTGATTGCACGATATAGGCTGCACCACTCAGACTGCACCATATAGCTTGCACAATGTAGATTGAATCGCATATATCGTACAGCATGGGTTGCACAACATAGAGTGCACAATTCATATAGTGCACCGCAGCGGTTGCACCACATATATATATATATATATATATATATATATATTGCACATAATAGGTAACATATATTGTACCACTTAGACTGCACCGCCTAGCGTGCCTACATATAGAGAACAGCATCGTCTGCACCACATAGCTTGCACAGCATATATTGTACCATAAATGGTGCACAAGCCATGTATATAGAGAGAGATACATAGATATACATCTTTCACACTATATATTGCATGGCATAGTTTGCACAACATCGGTTGAATAATCTAGATTGCGCCACATAGATAGCACAATCTACATTGCTAGAAACACAGTGTTTGGGGCCCACATTGCTTAACACGTGTATGTAGGAGAATAAGACATGTATCGGCGACAGGCCCCTGGTAGCGATTCGGCACCTTCATGGGTGGAGTGGGAAATCGGGCCCCTAGCGGCGATCCATGGGCGATTGGGGGATGATGCATTCCCCACTGAGCCTATCCCCCCCTGTCGTTGCCACCGATAAAACGAGAACTGGAGCAGCAAGCTCACGGGGCCGTGCAATGCGAGAGGCCTCCCAGATGGGAGTCGGAGGGTTGCAGCGAATCGACCGCCGATGCATCGGCGACGCCGGCATGGAGAAATCGGGCTCCACATCGAGCCGCGTGGCCGATGCGTCAGCGAGGCGGCGCGATCCTCCGCCCCCATCTACTCGAACCCAATCTGGGAGGCTCAGAACTGCGGAACCACTGCGAAACCAATTCCAAAACTTGGTTGCAACGCCTGCAGGGCCCCATCGAGTGGAGAAGTATTTCTGATCACATTGCAACCCGCGATGAAGCATTATGTAGCATCCTTTACATACGTTGCATGTGATACCTGGTGCTTTGGGATCGAATTTCCTTTCGCCCACGCGCTTCGGCGTATGGATTAGCGTAGCGCGGCCCCAGGCCGCGTATGTACGTGTCTCTCTCGCTCTCCCCTGCAGCGCCTCCAGCAGGACGGTGCCGCCGGGCTCCAGGCGCGCCGTGCTGAAGAGCCCCTGGCCTCGGTCCTGAGGCCCCAAAAAAGTATCGATACCGCCACTCGCCTCTCCAGGGGTGCGTTCTGGCTAAGACTTCGAAGCGAATGCGGCTGTGGCGACGAGGGCCTCCCAGGAGGCCCAAGGGGGCGAAAGTGG